GACAAGGAGACTGACACTCAGGGAGGTGAAGAAACTGGCCAAGTAGGCCCAGGGGAATGAGACGGAGGGCTGGGCCTGAAAGACCCCACTTCAGAGCAGGGCACCGCAAGGGCCAAGTCACAAGATGGGAGACTCTCTTCATTTGTAAAGACATTAGGAGAAAACAACCTCCACCCGATTTCCTGGCTCTGCCAGCTTTTCCAAGTTCCCAGGTCACAAACTTCACTTACACAAGACATTGTCCTATTGGATCAGGGACCCATAATTTTTTTTTAATTTATGATTTTTTTTTAAAAAAAGAGGATGTGTTATGTGGAATGTCAAAGCCGTATGGGGCTCAGAGACCGTAAATCTGAATATGATTTCATAGATGAGGAGACTGAGGTCCAGGGAGGTCCCATGACTTGCGTGATGCTCTCCGGGCTTTGAGCCTGGAGCAAATCTGGAGATCAGGATTCTGACCCCCACGTTCCCAGAGAACAAGGAAGGCTGCACCAACACAGGCCACAGCTGGAGCTGAGCCCTTCCATGAGGATTTCCTCTCCTCTGTCTCTCTCCCCATGGGTGCTGGCTTTGTGGTCCCTGCCCTCTAAGCTGGGAGCCACTCCAGCCACTGAGAACCTTCCTGCCAAGATGACCAAGCCTTTTCCCTGTACCTCCCAAGATGATGCTAGGAAAAGGAAATGTGACGAGGAGCTCACACATCGAAAGGGCATCTCTGAGGCTTTTAGGCTTTTGTCCGCTGCATGGACACTAGCTTAGAGTCAGGAAGGGGTGGAGGTCCCAGGTTCCTAGCTGTGCAGTGACTAAATCCTCAGACCACCAGATCTAGACAAACACACATGTACACACACACACACACACACACACACACACACACACTATGAAGCAGTAATGACTGTCCAACCCCAGCCTTCATCTGGACACTGGAGCATCAGACTGTATAACTAAGCTCCTAGCCTTACCAGCAAGATTTAAATTTTCACAATTTTAAACACACACACCCCCTCTGCCCAGTTTTCATCAGGAGAGCCATTAAAACATAAGGCTCTCCCCTCTAAAGAATAAATCCTAGGTCACCTGTGAATATTCCCTTTCTCAACACAAGAGCAGGTCACTGTACTCATTTCTTTTTCTCCCACCGCCCTGGTTCTAAGCCTTGGCTACACATCAGAGTGGTTGGGGAGGCCAGGGCGTGGCCCAAAATGCTCGATTCCTCCCCAACCCTTGGCAGAGCTGCTGGAAGAAACAGGGGTGGATGGGAGCGGCAAGCAAGCCCTGGCAAAGCTGGTGTGGACCATCTTGGGCTTCTGCCCACTGCCACCCGCATCTTCTGAGGACTCAGGCACCTTCTTAGAAGCCTGCGATAAGCCATGGTGACTGTGGACTTGAAGGGGGCAGGTCAGCGAGGGAAAGAAGCGGGCCACTCTGAGCGGGGGCGCTAGATGCAGTGGGTAATTTCTTCATTCTCATCACAATTCGGTTCACGGGAGACTCCTGGAATGTCTTTATCCATCACAGATGGTTTGGGGAGACGATAAATTAATATCGTTTAAAGGGAGGCATGGCTGAAATGGTTAAATGGTAACGTCTTCTTTGCCGGCTCTAAAGAGAAAGGGCCCCCAAGTCCATAAAGAAGACAAATGGTAAACAAAACCGCCTATCTTTTGACAGATTCCAGAACGAGTATCATTCACACACCCTTTTGCAGAGAAAGGGGAGAAATTCATCTCGTCTGACTTTGTATAGGACAACAGCCCACGCCATAATGAGGCCTTCCCAGTGCTGTGAAATCGCGCTGAATAGCGGAGAGTGCAGCCGCCTGCTCCCTGGGCATGTTGATTACAGCCCTTTGTGTGCACCGGCCCTGCCAGCCCCAGTCTGGTAAGCTAGGGGAGGGGAAAAAGTACCCGGCAAATTTGTTGCTATGAAACTTCCCAAATTGGGGAACGGCAAAATGATGTTTGGGATGAAATAGCCTTGCTCCAAGCTGTCCTTGTCTGGGTCCACCCTGCTCTCAGCTGAACAAGGTTGGGAGTCAGCCAATCACCAGCAGTGGATGGGTGGCCTCAGCCCCTGCCCGGGGCTCCTCCCAGACCCTGGGAAGTCGGGGCGGGGGCGGGGGTAAAGGGGCCCCAATAGCCATTCCCAAGCACCCTCAGGTCAACGGCCAACTTGAGTCAAGAGGCACTGCTGGTTGTCCCATTTCCCCCATGAAATGCATCTGAAACAGAGCAAAGAAGTGCAGCCTTCACCCGAGAGCTACAATGGGGCCAGGGCTGGGGGTGACTCCACATCTCCATGATTTTGGAAGCCCCTGAGAGCAAAGCATGCTGGGACTAAATGCTTCCACTAAGGGAACCATTTCCTTACACCAGCCGGCCCTGGGAAGACAAGACAGTGGACTCCTCGGGGGCGGGGTGATGCGAGAGATGCCTTTCTGAAGATCTCAAGGGTTCACATCCCCCTGCCGTCATCTGAACTCCTACAGCTGGTTCCCACCAAGATCTCAGGGTCTTCCTTTGGTGGGGGAACTGTGGCTTCAAACTTCCCACAGCCCCTAAGGGGGTGACACCAGGAAAAAAAGAGCCGAGGGGAAAGATCTGGAACTTTCAACAGATGACTTCGCTCGCCAATGAAACGGCAAGACCTTTCAGGTCACATTCTTCTTCTCACCAATCAGAGAGCAGATCTTTCAGGCATTGTATGTTCTCACCAATCACAAAGCAGGGCCCTTCAGGCAATGCTCTGCCTCACCAATCAGGAGGCAGAATCCTTGAAGCACTGTCTTTCCTCACCAATCAGTAGGCACTGAGAGTCCCACCCTTTCCTGCCACATTTCCCCAGAAGGATAAGCAAGTGTCCTTCTGAGCAGATTCCATCCTTACATTTTCTCCTCTTCCATGGGTTCTTCTCCTAGCGTTACCACCAAAGCAGTTGCTGTCCAGGGCTGGGAGAAAGGATCCAGACACCGAGGCTGGCCAAAGCATTTGAAATAAGACAGGACCACACCCTCATCTGCCTGCATCTGTCCCTCCTAGAAACCAGCAAAGGAAGACGGCAGCTCCACATCATTTAAGTAGAGTGGCAGAGCCCTGGAGGATGATCTGCAGGTTCCCAGGACCCCGTGGCCTCCTGACAGCTGGCTGCCAGCAGTGAAGGGCCACACACGGCCCTCATCCCTCCCCACGGCAACAGAGGAAAGAGAGAGCAGGCAGATGGCAAGATGACCAAGGCCCTGCTCCTTCCTGACTCTCCAGGGGACATGCCTTTCCTGCTCTGACAGAAGAAACTGGTATGGCAGGAAGTGACCACTGCCTTTCCAGACACAGCCCAGACCTTCTCATCCGCGGGCACAGGGCTGCCCACCCGACTGGCCCCTGTTGATTAAATTTTCTTGGCCAAATCCCCACGAAATCTATGTGCAACCAGTTGTTTACAAGACCCTGACTTCAGTTTCTTCAGTAGAAGAGAGACAACAAACACTTGGGCACAAGGCGTTGGCTACCTTCCAACTACATTCTCTGAAAACCCAAAGCCTTCCTTCCATGGTGCCCCTGCCTTCCTGCCACCGTAGATGTTTCTTGGATTCCCTTTGCCCAGGTCACTTTCTCAGTCCCTGCTCAAAGTCTCCTGGGGGATTCTCACCTGATCAGTTGTTTTTTAATGTGGAAACAGCCCAGCTACCTTTACGCTTAAATTTCTCTCGGCAACCACCAGAGGCAGCCTTAAGCCCACGGATCTGGAAGGAGAGCTTGCTTGTGTGTTGGAAGCCATCCTATTCATCCCTGCTCATTTGGAATCCAAGGGATTTCTCTAGGAGGAGACAGACTGGGAACCTGTTTTTTGGAGAACAGCGTCCTGTACAAGCAGGGCCGGCTCATGGACCCCACACTCGGAAGGGCACGCTCTTGGCTGAAACTCTGCTTGCCATTTTGAAATTCTCAGCAATTCCTGAACAAGAAGCCCCGTATTTTCATTTTGCACCGGGGCCCACGAATTATGTAATCGGTCCTGCACACAAGTGCCCAACATCTGGTGGATTTCCTGTTAAGAGGATGATACTTTGGCTTCATCCAAGGCTAAGCAGTGGCCATAGGAGGGTTTCCCTGTTGCAGCTCATCATCTGGGCCTAAGTCTCCCATGGCTTGTGTCTCTCCGGCGTCAGGGTCTTTACAGGCCCATGTGAGGACCCCAGCCATGCTGGCTTGTGGCCCAAGAGCCCTAGGAGATAAATATGTTCTCGGAAAGCCATGCTCACAGGAAGCCGTGGCGCTAGGCCTCACGTTTTGTACCCGGCGAGTCCTGGTTCCTGGAATTCCCAAAAGCAAATGGGGGTGGGGGGAGAGCACTTCTCCCCTCCCCCAATGTCACTAAATTCCCTGGCATTTCATCAATTCCTCTGAGTCATCTGACCATCGCTTCATTTTTGTTAGTGGGAGAAAACAAACAGCAGAAAGTTAAAACATTACTGCTTGCTTCAGTGAACAAAAAATAGAGTCCCCCATCTCCCTTTAATTTTTTGTCCTGAGAAGTGAAACTATTTGCAGGTGGATTAAATGTTCCTTCTGAGCCCCGCCCCCCCCAGCCCCCCAGTTGCCGACATCACAGTGAAGGTGCGCATCTGTGTGAGTGTTGGGGGCTGGAGGCGGGGGGAGCGGTGCGCACACATCCAAAGAAATGCATCTGCTTGGTTTTGGTGAAAGAGAGTCCTTTGTGCCGACGGTAAGCCCGTTGAACATGACCCCCGCCCTGTGGTATGCGGCACACCTGTGCCGACGGAGGGGGCGGGGCGGGGCCCGGGAGCCCTGCACCCTCGCGGGGACCCCACCTCCTTTCTTCTCCCGGAGCCGTTTCTCCACTGCCCCTTTGTTCCGACTTACACCCCCAGATACCTGGGAGGCGTGCGTGCGTGCGCGAGATGATCTCAGCGTGGGGACTAGAAAAAAGAAACACCGGAGGAGAAGGGGGGAGGGGCGGCCCAGGCCCTCCCCGCCTACCTTTGCAGGCCTTGCGGTGGGTGATGGGCTTGCCCAGGTCGCGGTAGTAGCCCTCCTTGCAGTAGTGGCAGTGGCGGCCGGCCGTGTTGTGGCGACAGTTGAGGCAGACGCCTCCGCTCTTGCGCCCCGACAGCTTGTAAAGCTCCATGTTGAAGCGGCATCGCCGGGCGTGAAGGTTGCAGTTACAGGCTACGGGAGACAGGGACGCGGGTCAGGAGCGGAGTCAGGAGGGGCGCCGGAGACCCCGTCCCCCCAGCTGCCCCCTCCTCCACTGCCCGACCCTGAGACAGCCTTTCTTCCGGGAGCTTTTTCCTTGGCTCCCCTGTTTGCATTCATCAGCGGGTATTGACCACCTGGCAGTACCTGAACCGTCGCCAGCCGACTGCTTCCCTCTCCAGTGGAGAGGGTTCACTTCCTTCAAACGATCCCCACTCCCCCCGGCCCAAACACCCATCACACGAGTCAGAGCTGGGAGATGCGGCTGGCATCCTCCTTGCGCCCAAATCCTGCTTGCTGTGGGCTGAACTGTGTCTCCCCCCACCCCATTCATGTGCTGAAGCCCGAACCCCAGAACCTTGGAACGGGGCTGTATTGGGAGACATCTTGGTAAAGGACCTATCTTGGAGATGGGGCCTTTAAGGAGATGATTACATTAAAATAAGGACATAAGGGCTTCCCTGGTGGCGCAGTGGTTGAGAGTCCGCCTGCCGATGCAGGGGACACGGGGTTG